TTTTTAAAAAAATGAAAAAAGCAGCCGCATTTCTCAATATTCCCAATCACCACCTTGCACAAACATAATTTTAGTGTATTCATGTTTGACCACAATTCCGAGTGAAAGTTTTTCTTAGAATTACCAGAATTTGTTTGTTTTTCAATAGAAACATATTCTATTAAATGTTAACCAATATCTGAATGTTTATGTGTACCTGATGTTAATGTTTATAGGAAGGTCAATGTTGATTCATTCTTTTCTGCCAGAATGTATATTTTGTTTTGTTTAGACCTGTTCTCTTGCTGAACATCTGTTCTTGTGCTTTAATAACATAAATGTGCTCAAGTAACGTGAAAATAGACCAGCTACAAGTGACCTCAACCACACCAAGAGACTTCAACCACACCAAGAGATTTCAACCCCATCAAGAGACTTCAACCACACCAAGAGACCTCAACCCCACCAAGAGACTTCAACCCCACCAAGAGACCTCAACCCCATCAAGAGACTTCAACCACACCAAGAGACTTCAACCCCACCAAGAGACCTCAACCCCACCAAGAGACCTCAACCACACCAAGAGACTTCAACTCCACCAAGAGACTTCAACTCCACCAAGAGACTTCAACCCCACCAAGAGACTTCAACCACACCAAGAGACGTCAACCCCACCAAGAGACTTCAACCCCACCAAGAGACTTCAACCCCACCAAGAGACTTCAACCCCACCAAGAGACTTCAACCACACCAAGAGACTTCAACCACAACAAGAGACTTCAACCCCACCAAGAGACTTCAACTCCACCAAGAGACTTCAACCCCACCAAGAGACTTCAACCCCACCAAGAGACCTCAACCCCATCAAGAGACTTCAACCACACCAAGAGACTTCAACCCCACCAAGAGACCTCAACCCCACCAAGAGACCTCAACCACACCAAGAGACCTCAACCCCACCAAGAGACCTCAACCCGACCAAGAGACGTCAACCCCACCAAGAGACTTCAACCCCACCATGAGACTTCAACCACAACAAGAGACTTCAGCCCCACCAAGAGACTTCAACCACACCAAGAGACCTCAACCCCACCAAGAGACTTCAACCCCACAAAGAGACTTCAACCCCACCAAGAGACTTCAACCCCACAAAGAGACTTCAACCCCACCAAGAGACTTCAACCCCACCAAGAGACCTCAACCACACCAAGAGACGTCAACCCCACCCAGAGACCTCAACCCCCACCAAGAGACCTCAACCCCACCAAGAGACCTCAACCCCACCAAGAGACCTCAACCCCACCAAAAGACCTCAACCCCACCAAGAGACCTCAACCCCACCAAGAGACTTCAACCCCACCAAGAGACCTCAACCCCACCAAGAGACCTCAACCCCACCAAGAGACCTGGCGCACGTCAAGAAATAACTAGACACACTTCAACAAGACCAAAAAGACTTACAGTTGGTCCAGCAGTTTCAAGCAGCCACATCCTGTAAGCACTCTTTCTAAGGTCTGTGATTTTCAGTATGATAAAGCCTCGAGGGCCAGTTATTGCTGTGCACTGGACCATTCCAAGACGTTCAAGGCCCGCACCAAGAAACAGCAAGGGACAATGACCAGGCCACGAAGTATTCTTCCTTAGCACGAGAGTCTGTAGAGGAAAATAGAGGAATACCACAAGACAATCTTGTGTCGCAAGATTTGCAAATTTTTTTCACAAACCTGCTCTGAGGCGATGGTCTCCGCGGCTTTGTTCATTATTTGAACCATTATTTAGCGCTGCTTGAATACACCTTTTCCTTTCGGGGATATAAACGGGCGGTCGTAAATATATTTTTTTTTTTTTGCGGTGTACGCTTAATAATTTAAGCTGTCTGTAAGCAAATAGTCGCGTCAGCTGCGCCGGTTTGTAGGGGTGGACGGTAGAGCGACGGTCTCGCTTCATGCAGGTCGGCGTTCAATCCCCCCGACCATCCAACTGGTTGGGCACTATTCCTTTCCCCCGCCGTCCCATCCCAGATCCTTATCCTGACCCCTTCCATGTGCTATATAGTGATAATGGCTTGGCGCTTCCCCCCCCCCCCCCCTCTCCTAATAATTCCCTCCCTCCGTCTATTTTGAAATACTCTCTTCGGGAAATTGTTAACTGATGGACAGTAGAGTCAACACACATGACAGCTGTCCAAGCACAGTGAACATCAGTGCCAATATACGGAACAGCAGTGTTAGTTAACTACACAAGCTTCCTAACGATTAGGCACTGAGTAAAACACAATATTTATTTAACCTCCGGAATAGATTTTCAATCTCGGCTCGACTTTCCAAAAGAGCCAAGCTAATAGAGGCGGAGCTCTGTGGCCCAACAGAACTAAAGGGCTCATCTCTGGAGGATGGAAGAATGTTAGTCTGTCTCTTATCCTCTGGCCAGGTGGGGGCGAATGTCAGCATAAAAGAATAATAACCAACAATTTAATTTGGTACTTGTGAGATCATTTAACAACCTCATAATTAGGCACTAATTGGTCGGCCTACAAATGCTTAGCGTCATTAAACAATGAGGGCGTCCACGCTATGTGCACAGATACTGTATCCTGCTTGTTTAAGTGCTGTAACTGCAACTGTACCCTTGTTGTTACTGTACCCTGGCTGCTACTGCTGGCCCTAGCATACTGTACCCAGTCAAAGTCCACTACGGGCTCACCATAGCCCGTGCTACTTGGAACTTTTTGTACCAAGTAGCGAATCTTAAACAACAACATGTACCCAGTCGCCATTCTTAACTAATAATAAGGTCCTTAAAAAGCAGCAGCTTCTCCAAGTAGTCAAGGATCAGCCTCGATGACAGTTACTGTTACCACCACCACGTGACGTCTGTAACACTTTCCCCTCTAAAGGGAAAAGGTCAAACGAGCGTGTAACAACGACGAGAGCCAATACGAGGCGAGCGAGCCTCGTATTGGTCACCACAGCTAACAGCCATTCCAAGCAAAATACCTCGGAGCGAGGATTACCTATTCAGACCACGAGGCTCGTCCACCAACGCCTGGAAGGTAATTGTACAGGCGATGGTAGAATCTTCTCACCTATATGAATACAACTTTTGCCGCTATAGAACAGTCTCCCACGGAAGGTTATGGCTAGTAACTCAAAGTCTTCAACAGATTCATCTCTCTCTCTCTCTCTCTCTCTCTCTCTCTCTCTCTCTCTCTCTCTCTCTCTCTCTCTCTCTCTCCTCTCTCTCTCTCTCGACCACTACACTTAATATTCCTCTGATGTGTTTAAAAAAGTCTTTAGAAAACTGAATACAGTTCTATCGATTAAGGAGAAAGGTCACTTCCGGTGACCCTGTGAAAATCAGCAGGTGGAGTTGGAGGAGATGAAGGTGTGTGTGTGTGTGTGTGTGTGTGTGTGTGTGTGTGTGTGTGTGTGTGTGTGTGTGTGTGTGTTTATATGTGAGCGAGGAAGGGAATAAGGAAGAAAGGAGGGAGGGCTTGTCAATTTTCAGGTCCAGATCGAAAAAACATACCTTTCTTTACACAGGACGGTACAGGCAAAAAGTACAGAATGGGGGGTACAGGGAAGATTACGGAAGGGAGATAAGAGGTGATTTGTCGCAGCTGTACAACGTGCGGTTAAACTATATAAAATAGTAGAAGAGAGAGAGAGAGAGCGAGAGAGAGCTGGAGAGAGAGAGAGGAGAGGAGAGAAGAGAGAGAGAGGAGAGAGAGAGAGAGAGGAGAGAGAGAGAGAGAGCGAGAGAGAGAGAGAGAAAGAACGAGGAGGGGGAGAGAGAGCTGAGATGAGGTAGGTAGTTAGAGAGAGCGTGCTCTTTCTGTCTGTCTCTCTCTCTCTCTCTCTCTCTCTCTCTCTCTCTCTCTCTCTCTCTCTCTCTCTCTCTCCACTCTCATCTCCCAGTTCTCTACAAATCGATCTTAGTCCGTACGGGGGATGGCAAGGGTGTGGTCGGCATCTCTCTCTCTCTCTCTCTCTCTCTCTCTCTCTCTCTCTCTCTCTAATGGCTTTCCCCCTATTTCTTTCGCTTCCAAAACCTACTACAGGATACACTGCTTCCCTGAACACCACGGGTACAGAACAGGGCGCTCCTGTGCCTCTCGCTAGTCCACTGTGACATAGACACGGCCACCATGGAAGACAAGCAAGAATCTCCTGTAATATACAAAGCTTTCGCGAAAGTCACAATGGGATCGAAGGGGAATTACTGGTAAAGTAGGAAGATGGAGCTTTAATTACCTAACAGATCCCTCCTAGAGGTTTCCTGTGACATTCATTCGAATGAATGACCCCCCAGAGGTGTGTGTGTGTGTGTGTGTGTGGTGTGTGTGTGTGTGTGTGTGTGTGTGTGTGTGCTTGCGGTGTGGCTCTGTGGTGTGTGTGTACTCACCTATTTGTACTCACCTATTTGTGCTTGCGGGGGGTTGAGCTTTGGCTCTTTGGTCCCGCCTCTCAACTGTAGTGTGTGTGTGTGTGTGTGTGTGTGTGTGTGTGTGTGTGTGTGTGTGTGTGTTGTGGTGTGTTGTAT